TGCAGTCTGACCGTGATTGCGATACCTTTTTCATACCGTTGATGAAGTGGTATTAGGTTGTCCGGAAAGTTCTCAGCATTTTGTGCACTATTTTTTGTACATTCACTGCTGATTAAAAACTCATTCCGCCTTGCTTCTCAGTAGCACATCCTGTAGAGAATTTCTTGCGCTATCTGATGGTATAATTGTCGTTTCACCATTGCCTGATAAACCCCCTTTCAAGATTTTTTCAAGTATAGGAGAGCACATCGGACGATTTTTTCTTCGACTATAAATGGGGCAATCCGCAAACGAAACAGCTCAACAAATTAGCCGGCGCAATAGTGCTAGAGAACACTATGCGGCAATGGCTCAACAAATTTCTTTCTGGAGATTTCAGCCTTGAAGATGAACCTCATAGCGGTCGACCTAAAGCAATATCTGACGAGGATTTTAGGGGGATTTTGGAGGCTGACCCATCCCAAACAGTTCGAGAGATAGCAGAAGAGCTAGGCGTTGGCAAATCCACTGTTGCAGATGGTCTGGAACGCATTGGGAAGGTGAAAAAACACAACGGCTGCCCCACAATCGGAGTGACCGGCAGGAATCGGCACGTCTCGAGGTTCCCTCTGCACTGTTTTTGCGCAGCAGAAACGACCTGTTTTTGGGCCGAATTGTCACCTGTGATGAAAAATGGGTCATGTATGATAACAGGAGACGTTCCAGACAGTGGTTGGATTCGACGAACCACCGAGGTAATTTTCAAAGGTTCTGGTCACAGTGTGGTGATCATCAGCTGGTGTGATTCACAACATTTTATCACCAAGCCAAACCATCACAGCAGAACCCTACTGTGAAGAAATCGACGAATTGTACCGAATTTTGTCAGGTGCAGCCAACACTTATCAAAGAAAGGGTCCGATTCCTTTACATGACGACGCCCGCCCACACATTTTACAAATCACTATCCATAAATTGAAAAGTTCTACCTCAACCGCCATATTCTACAGACCCTTCGCCAACCGGCTATCACCTTTTCCAACATTTTCAGAACTCCCTTGCTGGAAAATACTTCATCAATCAGGACCAGGCAAAAAATCCTTAGTGGATTTCGTGAATGTTCGACCCAGTTTTTTACCTTGATGGGATTTCTCGACTGGTGTCACACTGGCAAAAGTGTGCTGATTCGAATGGTGCCTATTTCGATTAAATCTGATGGGTATTAAAAAAGTTACGATCGTTTAAAGTGAAACACCCAAAACGCTGAGAACTTTCCGGACAACCTAATATATTCCGTTAGTGAATGTCGGCCGTTACCTCTGCGACCACGCTGAATAACACTGACCATTATTCTTCCTGTATTGATTTCGGTTTTCACCCCCGCAATACTTAACAAGATACCCTCCGAGAAATCGATAGGGAAGACTCTCACATATAAACCTATTCAGGAGTTGTGCTATCCCGAGCTGGAGCCTCATGGTTATCTGAATGTTGAAAACAAGAAGAAGCTTTGAAAAGTTCTCCCAAAGAGCTTAAAAGGATCAAAAAAGCTCTTTGGAATAGAGTCCAGCTTCTTTCTTCATGAAACGTCGGCATTATTGATATTTTTATGTTGTAATTTGTTCTGCCAAAGAGGGTGGTAGATGGAAGACTTTATTATAAATGGCCTGACGTTTCGACAAGATCGTCGTCCTCAGAGGCCTAAACATAGCTCAAAGTTTGGATGTTTATCCACTAGACCGCTAAACGCCTCGCCTCCCTAGCGTTTCTGGCGACATAGGAGAACTATCAAGAAAAACCCGAGTGTGAAAAACGAACTTACCAGTCCACCACCACATGAGCGGAACGGTGCCACTCGCTGTCAGTTGTCAGTTAATAAGTGAGACACACTGTGCTGTCCTTATACAGCAAGTATAGTTAGGAACGGCACATAGCTCGCAATGTGGCATAAATGACAAGAGGTCATTTGTAATGGACAGACACTCATTTCGGTTGTTCATCCTAGGATTCCTTGCGGAGATCTGGAATGCCTCTAGCGCTTTTCTAGCTGAAATTTTAGTCTGGAATGCCAGAATTTTGCACTTCACTCAAAATCGTTTCCGCCGTGCTCTTCGATCAAATGCCTGCCAGCCTGTGTACGCGTATTGCCCCGCCTTTTACCAGCAGATGCTCTTTGATACGTATCGCCAGTGTTCTTCCAGTCTCCCCTATGTAAGTTGCGTTACATGTCTGACATTCAAGTTGTAGGTTACGCCACTTTTAGCGCAATCTCCTCCTAGTCCGTGCGGACACATGACGCAATGCTCTGATATGCACTGCCTGTCATAGAGCCTATTTCGCACGAGTTGACACTCGATATTATTGTTAGGAATACCAACACAGCATCGTTGTCTAACTGTGCTCGAAAAAGGCATCTTTGAACAGCGGCGGTGATTTTATCAGATCTGAATGGTATACATAGGGAGACTTTGTCTTGGCGCGGGCCGCTTCGACGCTCAGTGTGAGTTCGTCCGCGATTTCGATTTCCTGGTACAACATAGCCGTTTGAAGCAGCTATGTTGAAGCAAGGCGTATAGACTCTTGCCGTTCTGCCGCACCTGTGCACACGTTTGCAGCAGTCCTGAACATATTCCTAACTACTGCATGTTTCGTGGCGGAAGAGTGAGCAGAAGTGGCATGAATCGGGATGTTCTTCGAGCTTGCTTTCCTGTACCACTTCATGCTGAGCATGCCATCAGACACTTTCACCTTGGCGTTCAAATAGGGAAGCCAACCATTGAATGGTACCTCTCTTGTGAGCCTAATGTACCGGGACTGCTCATTCATTAGTCGGAAACACTCACCCATCTCGGATTATGTCGATGTCACAATGAAGCAGCATCTATATATCTACAGTACATTAGTGGCAAGCGTTCCAGTGCTGGCTCTTCTATCCTGCTCATGAAGCAGATCGCGAGTACCGGTGCTAGGCGTTGACCCATGGCTAACCCGGCTAACCCTCTCGTTTGAGAATAGTACGTACCCGACCACTCAAAGATGTTGCAACCCAAACATTCCTTGATCAGTGTCATGATGTGCGCCTTGCTGAGTCTAAAAGCCCCAATGCTTCTCACATGCATGTCCAACATCTCAGACAGGCCTGCAGACCTTGATTGTTCTGAACATTGGTATGAAACGAAGTGACTTCGAACGACTCTACCACGCAGCTTGTTTCCAAGCGTAAATTGCGCAGTTTTTCAAGAAACTTGGTCGTGTTGGTCAGGTGTGGGGGTACCTTGGGCAACACCTGGCTCACAATGAAGTTTAGGAACCATGAAATTCGATCAGTTGGTCCTCCCGCGCAACTTATAATTGGTTATCTTGAAAGTGCCCGGTGAAGTGGACTGCATATAACCACAAGTTTGTGGGTTTTCACGAGACTGTAGAAGACAGGAAAAATCGGATTGTCGAGTCTGAGCCTACTGAGAAACTTCTAGTTGAGACCTGCAGACTGACCCGGAGCCATCCAAACACTATTCAGCCTATACGCCTTGCTTCGAACATGGCTGCTTCAAACGGCTATGCTGTACCAGGAAATGGAAATCGCGGACGAACTCACACTGAGCATCGAAGTGGCCCGCGCCAAGACAAAGTCTCCCTATGTATACCATTCATATCTGATAAAGTAACCGCCGCTGTTCAAATATGCCTTTTTCGAGCACAGTTAGACAACGATGCTGTGTTAGTATTCCTATCAATAATATCAAGTGTCAACTCGTGCGAAATAGGCTCTATGACAGGCAGTGCATATCAGAGCATTGCGTCATGTGTCCGCACGGACTAGAAAGAGATTGCGCTAAAAGTCGCGTAATCTAAACTTGAATGTCAGACATGTAACGCAACTTACATAGGGGGACTGGAAGAACACTGGCGATACGTATCAAAGAGCACCTCGCTGGTAAAAGGCGGGGCAATACGCGTACACCACTTGGCAGGCATTTGATCGAAGAGCATGGCGGAAACGATTTTGATGTGAAGTGCAAAATTCTGGCTTTCCATACTGAAATTCAGCTAGAAAAGCGCTAGAGGCATTTTGGATCTCCGCAAGGAATCCTAGGATGAACAACCAAAATGAGTGTCTGTTCATTACAAATGACCTCTTGCCATTTATTCCACATTGCGAGCTATTGATGTGAACAGTGAGACGTGCCGTTCCTAACTATACTTGCCGTATGAGGACAGCACAGTGTGTCTCACTTACTGACTGACAACTGACAGCGAGTGGCATCGTTCCGTTCATGTAGTGGTGGACTGGTAAGTTCGTTTCTCACACTCGGGTTTTTCTAGGTAGTTCTCCTATGTCGCCAAAAACGCTTGGGAGGCGAGGCGTTTGGCGGTCTAGTGGATACAACATCCAAACCTTGAGCTATGTTTAGGCCTCTGACGACGACAATCCTGTCGAAACGTCAGGCCATTTAAAGTAAAGTCTACCACCTACCAACCTCTTTGGCAGAACAGCTCTTTAGAATATTTATAGCGATACTTCGGCGCTTATCGCCTTCATCAAGCTTGAAATACTCCTTTCTAAGTGGAGTTAGCTACTACACAGCGTATATCATATTAACTCACGTGGGTCTGTCTCCATTAGTAAGAAACCTATTCTTTCCGTGAAGAACTTGAACGCAAACCATTTGTTTCCGAAGGGAAGAGTAAGTTTTCCCACTAGTAGAAGCAGACACGTGAGTTCTGACAGGCTTGTGTAGCAGCTTACTACTCTAAGAAAGGAGCATTTCAGGCCTGACTAGGGCGCTAAGCGTCCAAATATCATGCTAAATATTGCTAAAGACCTTTTTCCGGAACTTTTGCTCCTTTTGAGATCTTTGAAATAAACTTTCAAAGCTTCTTCTTGTTTTGAACATAAACTTATTATTCAACAATGAAAAGTTATTGTGAAAAGAAGTAATGAGTGTCGAATGATCTGAAAGAATTTTGATTACAAGTCCTATTTCAAGATTTGGCCACGTCTACTCGGTGCTAGCGAAATGAAGGAAACTCGGCCGAGCCTCTACCAGGAGCTCCTAAAACGAGCTTTACTTGTGTCCAAGGATATTAAACAGATCGATTTGGACATCAATCGCACTTATCGTGATCATTTGGCGTTCCGGAGGCGTTACGACGTGAAGTAATCAATCCATTGTGACCAGTAGTTGAAATCAAGGCTATATTCAGTCTCGTAAGTTTTCATTACTATTTATTTTAGGCAGCAGTCATTGTTAAATGTTCTAGCTGCATATGCAATGTATAACACTGAAGTTGGATACTGCCAAGGTACGGATTTCCTTCATTTATAACTTTCAGTTCAACTTCATTTACTTCTTGCGTCCTTGTTTTGTTTTTTTGTTGCTGATTTGTATATAGAGATTCGCCTTTACTTCTCCCTCTCCTTTTATCCGTTCCCCGATTATTGCACTCCCCTCACTATTTTTCCGAAAATTCAGTTATATATGAGTTCTGAGAACTAGATACTCAAAAGACCTATATATCTTTTTACTTACTCCACTTGATGAGCACCGACTAGCAGAACGCCAGGGCAATGACTTTGGTAATAATTACAAAGTCCTGGCCCACGAAGACCACGTCGGTCTTAAATTCAATGCTTCTTCGATAATGGATGTGGCGAAGTGAATGGAAAGGAGAAGACACGACTTTTGCTTAGATGAAAGCTGTCATCAACTCTTTTGCGGCTCAATCGCGCTCAGGTCGCCGTTAGATTACATGGGATGAAGCCATCTCCACCGCGGGTCGTTTGTTTGGTTCACTATTCCGTCGATTTGATGTCTCAGTACGATAACCGGTATTTCAGAAGTTGCAAAACCCTTGTATGCATACACTGCTCTGAGCGCAATTTGATTCTATCAGCCTTAGTGGTTTACAGTGCCTCATCTATGTGGGTGGGTTCCAAGGTGCCGACTTCACTACTGCAGAACGCGCATGGGGAAACTGGACCAGGAAAACAATATAGCAGACAAAGAACTCACTGCTGAGTGTCGGCTTATCAGATCGTACAGAGAAGATGCAAGAATGCTGGAAAACGCCGCACTCCTACAATCTACCGTACTGTCAATGAGAAAACTAGAAAGTTGAAGCCAAAACAGGTATGGAGAAAAAGAGGAACAACTAGAGCGCTGGAGGAACAACTAGAGCGCTTCATGACACTTCGCAATCTGGAAATATGGAATCAGCATTACCGTCACACCACGGACCAGACGCAACGGTACAATTAATTGCCAGTCAAGGGCATCGGAGACGTTATACGAAAGGACACCCAAGCTCTTCTAGATGTGGAAGCAATAGGACGTACTCTTTGACTGCTACTCACCACTACAAGAATGTGATGTGAGGATGGGCCCGATCTATCTTTCTGTCACTCTTGCTTCAAGCACTTCATGGTGTTGCACGCTTGGTGTTAATCACTGTGGGACAGAAACGGCTTTCAAAGCTCGCTAAAGTAAACATTAAATTGAGGTGGTACTGCGTTCGAATTATTGGCCTCATCGCCTCGAAAGGCGAAACAGGTGGTACTTGCATATAGATGGTCACGTTCTCAACTGAGACTTTTCTACCTGGGAATAATTTTTTTCACAAAACCTAGCTGCATTAGCGATTTCAGGCATTGAAGTAGAACGAACATTTACTGTGGAAACTAGAGGACCAGAGTCGAGGAGGGCACTGCTTGGGCACAGTTCAGCCAATATATGAGGGAATTCTGTTGAAAACTTGCCACCAAAAATGTAGTCTCAGAGTATTTGGTACTGACAGTCACTATCCTGACCCTGAATTTTCTTTTCAGCACTAACTGTGGAGGTCGTTCAGGACGTGGAGCGCTTTTCGAAACGGTTTTTTGCATGGTGTGAGGTCATGGAGTACCATACTGATGTTCATTTTTCCTGACGAGCCTCACTGGGCTCTGAATCACTTGCAGCTTTGACCGAGGGTCCTTATAGGTTAGTGGAGGGTCCTCATAAAGGTACTACAGGAATCAAGAAGGAAATGGTCGCAAATGGGGTCTTACTTAAAGACACCGCGATAAAGTGGTCCTCAAAATGAATTCGTGCTGTTTGGAACCCTCTACGCCTTGACGAAGATGATAGCACTTTCATCCCTCAATATGGCGCGATGAGGAAGTTCTAGCGATTTCCACAAGGCTCGCTAGGCTCGCTGAGACGGTAGGTGGACGAGGCGTCCGGTCCCGAGCTGCTTCCGTCCTTTAACGCCCGCGCGCGCGTCTCGTCCTTCTGGCACTTAGCCAAAGTTGGTTTATAGCTGTTTATAACTGGCTGGAAGCGCAAATTCTTAGAAAAGCATACATAGGATAAGAGAGAGGCAAGAAACTAAAGAAGGCAGTGAAGAAGGATTGAAGAAAAGCACGGGGAGATGAGTATCACGCACGAAAGTCTGTTTCTCCCGCTTGTTGCCTAGAGCATCCGCATCGCGCGTAGCAGGAGAGAATATAACAGAACAGCATGAATACTGAGAAGAGCTCCTCTGTTCTCCCCAGCTCCACTCTGAAAGAAAAAAAACCCTGTAATTATCAGTGGAACACGTTTTGTCGAGACATCGCCCGGAATTTCTCGACACACGCAAGTGATGGATTTAACGGGAGCTCTCCTCTCCGACAACCGTCGGGCGTAGCTGTTTCCGCAGTTTCCTATTTCCTATTCGAATTCGAAAATTATCCTATTTCGGAAGTCGGGACGCAATTGCGGCCGCCGCACCGATCCCGGCAGCCACAGCCGGTGCACTCGTCCAGACCCCGCCCCCACTGCTAAAGGGAGGTGCGTGTTGCGGGTGTTCGCGAGGTTTTTTTTCCACTGGGGGGGGGGTAACAAATGGGCCACTGCTTCTTTACTGGGCACCAATTACCCGAACACTTTATCGCGGTAAGTGTCTTTAAGCCGCGTGATTAAAAGTGAGCGTCTCTGAGCGGCTCTTAGGAATGGTTTCTTCAACGATCGGAGCGATGTTCAGCTAAAACGATCGGATGGCCTAGTGGATAGTGGAGGATTCTCAATCGGACAATGAGGGTGGGGGTCATGGTTCGACCCCTCTTGGCTTGCGAGTTTTTGCATTTTTTATGTTCCACTGTTCTCTGTCTATGTCTCTTTATGAATTTTACTTGGATATCTACCATTTATAGGCAAATTCTAAATAGTTATACCCCACCAATCGGTGCTTTTCAACGACTCCGATTTTCACATACCCTTAGGCAAGAACTTTTCCTAAAGTTGATCTTTATATGTTATTCAGTGCCCTGATCACGACTGTGGCATTGACTTTAAGCTGTAATGCCACTTATCGCCATTTTGGAGTCACTTCTTTCTCCCACTGGAGTCGCTATGTACACTCATTTGAGCGACTTTAGGGCCATTCTGGCGGCAGATTGCGTTGACGCCAAGGATAAGTGTCAGAATTGTGATCAGGACCATCGATAACCCCTATGGGCAAACTTTCGCCAAAAAATTTTTTTACTCCCTTGGGTTGTGATAGACCATGATATACCATTTGGTCGGTAATGATGGCCGGAATCTCAACCTTTGGAACGGTGATGACGTAACTATGACGTGGCGGGTCGCCGGGCAGCCTTATCGCGGGTTTGGTGCCCATAAGGTTCATTCATACTTGGCATGGGCATGGGTGGCGCAGAACAAGTGAAAAACCATCCTAGACATATGTTGACCCCTGCGACTGCTCGCTCAACAAAGATCTCGTCCTCCCCTACCGACCAAAATAGACTCCTCCAAATTTCGCCTTTTTCAAGTGCACCTGGAATAATGATAACCTCCTTCTTTCTATGAAGTTTATCGTTTTTGCTAGTTTTCTGTACCACTGAATGGAAACGTTTCAGTAACGGAGAAAGTACTTCTACAGAATGACCCAACACACAAACCCAAGAAGTCAAAAAAATTATTTTTAGAAGAAAGTTCGCCTGCAGGGGTAATCGATGGTCCTGGTCACGATTCTGACACTTATTCTTGGCGTCAACGCAATCTGGCGCCAGATTGGCCCTAAAGTCACTCAAATGAGTGTACATAACGACTCCAGTGGGAGAAAGAAGTGGCTCCAAAATGGCGATAAATGGCGTTACAGCTTAAAGTAAATGCCATAGTCGTGATCAGGGCATGTGAAAATCAGAATCGTTGAAAAGCACCGATTGGTGGGGTATAACTATTCAGAATGTGCCTATAAATGGTAGATATCCAAGTAAAATTCATAACGAGACGTAGACAGAGAACAGTGGAACATAAAAAATGCAAAAACTCGCAAGCCAAGAGGAGTCGAACCATGACCCCCACCCTCACTGTCCGATTGACAATCCTTCACTATCCGCTAGGCCATCCAATCGTTGTAGCTGAACACCGCTCCGATCGTTGAAGAAACCATTCCAGCGAGCCGCTCAGAGTCGCTCACTTTTGATCACGTGCCTCAAGTAAGACCCCCATTTGCGACTATTTTCCTCCTCGATTCCTAGAGTACCTTTATAGGGACCCTCCACCCCTCCACTCAGCAACTGGTCAAAGTTGCAAGTGATTTAGAGCCTACTGAGGCTCAAAAACAGAACTTGTTTTCCATGATCTTCTTTTTCACTCCTTTTTTGGTACTCCCAGAGGCGTTCAGGAAAAATGGACATCATTTTGGTACCTCCGTGTCTCAAACTGAGTCTGAACTGTAGTTGCATCAAACTGGCACCAAGTGGTTCGCTGTTTATCGACAGGAGGGCATTTTGTATTATAATCGCTTCCCTGGTTCCGGTTTACGAATCTCACTCTGGTAAAACTTGTGGGCGCTTGTGAAGCTGGAGCAGGATCGTCTAGAAACCATCCTAAAACGTGTCAACTCGAAAAAAGGGTACCTAGATGGGTTGGCAAGTTTATGAAAAGCAGAATGCCCCCCCCCTGGTCGATGAACAGCACCCCAAATGGTATTGAATGGAAAATGCCATGTCAGTAATCAGATCAATACTTTTTATGTCTAGTGATAGTGACGTTTTTTTCTTTTCCAATCACTAAGCATGCAGTGCAATTTCATGCGATAAGTTGGGAAACCGCTCATGAAAGAATATTCTGGACTGGAATAAGTAAAAACTCGGCTCTTTATATTAATGTAATTATTCCCATTTGCGAACAGCTAAAAGCATTGTAAGCGTAGTATGGTGTGCGACATGATATGTCTCGACCTACACTCGTCATCCTTCGAACTGATTAGGGCGGTCGGAGGACCGCAGACGCGGGTGCACCAGCGACCGCGTCACGAGTAGCAAACTGTCGGCGGCGCGGGGCAGCTACCCTGCGTC